TGCTGTTTATTGCAGCATGTGACACTGACTCAGCTACTTAACCACGTGCCTTCTTCCTCATCTATAAAGCAGGAAGAAATACCTGCCTCGCCAACTTGATAAAGACTGTAGTGAGAATAAAGAAAGATGATGTTTAGGATTACTTTGAAAATTTGAGAATACTGTACAAATTTAAGTTGACAGTTACTGTTGAGATGTATATTTAAATTAGTTCAATGGGGTAGTTTTATTTGTGTTTATTTTGATAGGGTTTCATTATTTCCTGAGTTTGCTTGCTTCTTCTTTTAGAAGCTCAATTACATGAGCTTCATTTATTGGATTTATAAAATTCCAATTTTTAGTTGCTTCCAAATATATGAGCTTTCTAAACATTGAGCTAAATTAACAGAAATATGGCTCTAGCCTAACACTTAAATATCTAGCCTATCTTGCCAAAGATGCGTATTTAATTGGAAAGTCTTTTAATCTGAAAGTCTAACTTTACTAAAACAGAAATTGCAATTTTTATGTATTTGGATAGAAACTTCTAACAGTATGCTTTTTATTTTAATGAAATTTTTACTCTTCATGCAGCCTTAATATATACACATAAAATATAACAAGACTGGCCTGTTTATTTCTTGAAAAATGAAGTTAATGTCTTCACTTATTAATGACTTTAAAAGGAGATATAACTTACTGACTTGAGATAAAACCTTTATCATCATTAGTTTTAGGTTGTTTAGTGAGATTTTAACCTAAGGAATTATGCCTTACTTGTTGCCTTTTATAAACTAGTAGTGAAGACTATAAAAAGTTATTTATCAAGGATTCCTTGATGTAAACTGATAAACATCTTTATATTAAAGAGAAATTGAGTCACTGAATGAACAATTGACTCACCTCTGTGTCTATGAATTGTTTTAACTAACATATTCTCTATTGTAACATCTTCTGCTTGAGTATATATAAATATAGGTATTAAGAAATAGTATGTTTTTCTTGTATTCATAGACTGTAGGAAGAGGCAGAACTCTACTTCTTCAAGCAAAGGTAAAAGTCTTGAATCTACCTCTTCCCAGTGGCCCTTCTTATCCTGTGCAGTATATACCTGAGTCTGAATTTAAGAGCCTTTGTGAAGTGATATTCTGGTTTATAATATTTCTGGAAAGGAGAAGTGATGTCTAATTGAATTTGTGAACACTTGATTTTTAAGTGAAATTGCCAAGATCACAAGAAACTTTTATGAAATTGTTTATCTTGTTTTATAAACACTCTAGTGTTAGTGTTAGGGTGGGAAAATGATTTTGAATGTTCTTGAATTAAGACTTTCTAACAGTGACTTACTCTGAGCACAGCTTAAAACTACTGTTTCAGGGCCAGCCCGGTGGTGCACTGGAGAGTGCGCCACTTGGGAGTGCGGCAGCACTCCCGCTGAGGGTTCGGATCCCATGTGGAGACCGGTTCCTGCTCACTGGCTGAGTGCGGTGCGGGTGCAACACTGAGAGTTGCGATCCCGTTGCCGGTCTCCAGTACAGGCGCGACACCAAGGGTTGCAATCCCGTTACCGGTCAGTAAAAAAGACAAAAAATCCAGTACGGGCGCGACACCAAGGGTTGCAATCCCGTTACCGGTCAGTAAAAAAGACAAAAAAAAAAACAAAACTACTGTTTCAGAAATAACATAAGGAAAATTTTCCAGAGAGAATGGTATTGACATTCAGTTGACATTTTTAAAAATGAACACAAAGTTTGAGGTTTAGGAAATAAGAAAATCAAGTGGACATGAAGCCTTTCCTAGGACTGAAAGGGATTTTACTTTGAGAAGTACAAAATTTAGTGTGGATTTTACTGCC